GACATTACTCAAAAACTTGTGGACGAATTGTCATGACATTTTTACCACATGTGGGTACTGGGCCAAGTAAGACACCATTAAATTTTGGTGATGTTCCGGATCACAATGCGGATACAGGAATTTTTTTCTATTAATCCTCTGAGATCGGTAAAGCTGTGACGCTTTCACAGGGCTTCTGTAAAAAAACAGTGAGAAGTTTCAGTGTTCATTTCAACTGGATTACACTGCACAGACTTCAAACTTTATAAAAGTAATGTTAAAACCAGATGTAATGATGAATAATTCTTGCCATAATGTGCACATTTTTACACATTTGGTGCGCATTTAGACGTCTTGTGACCAGGAAGTGCATGACTGCAACAGGAAACCTATTTTCCCCATTTCCTCAAACACACCACATTGTTGGTAGGCTTGTAAACAGATCGATGAAGAATGAGGAGGAGGACTGACGCGCTCAGGTGYGGTGCACTTCAGACTTGGAGGTTATTTGTTTGTTTGTTTGTTCATTTTTATTATTTAAATGAGACCAGGGGCGAGGTAATGTTTTCGGTCACGCTGACCCACTCGYTTCATGAGCCGACTGTACAAGGAAGCACTTTATAAAGAAAGTCAAACCATTACAAACTCATTCAAGGGAATAAAAAGGACATTTTACACGATGAAATGTGACTGATAAAAACTTAGGAGCTTAATCCGACACCTGTTTGACGATGAATAATGTCAGGTGACGAGTCTGACTTTTTTTTTTCACATTGGACTCCACCGGGAAGAAATCCTGTGCATAATGCCTGCTTAAATGTTCGCTACGTCAGAACTTATTCGGCAAATGTGTTTCCATCTCTGCTTTTGCGCATTAACTCTTACAGGATGGRGGAAATTGGWCTTGGCGGAGGTTTGCACTCTCCGAGTGCTTCTAGTTCAAACTTTGTTTCAGCATAATAATAATAATCTAGAGAATTTTTCTRATTTTGTCTGTGATGAGAACTGGTTCCGACTCAGCTTGTCAAGAATATAAATCAACACAGTGTGTAAATGTGTGTGARTGGTCCTCAAGGGGCTTGATTATATGCTGTGTAATTTCAGATCACTTACCATTTACCATTCATAACACATTATCTGAGGCAAAATGATTGTTCTTGCAGATGATGTTTGTTACTTTAGTCAGTTTATCATTATTTTTTTAAACTAAGTAGCCACAATTTCTCTGCCTTTTTCTCATCACACATGATGTGGAACAAAAGGCTGCCATTTAAGGCACTCAGAGAGAAGCTGGGGCGTCACAGGCCCAGAGCAAATGAGGATTTCACACCCACATCTACTGAAAGTGACTAGAATGGCAATACACGGGCTTGTTTCTGAGAAATTATTTTTTTACTTCTGCAAATGGTAAAATTGCAGCAAAAGAAGAACTGAAAATCACACATTTAACATATAAATAATAAATTGTTGATCTGGTCAAAGTTGGCGCTGACAGTAAAGATGTTGCTTCTGCAGAAAGGGGTGACACTTTAAGGTAGGGTGGGGTAAGAGCAGTGATGCATATAGTTCATTTTAACAATTTGATGTATTTTACAATTTAATTTGTTTTCAGGGTTTTTAAACGAATAGTGTAATATTCCTATAAAGAACAAATGGAATGACGTAATAGTAAAGGAAAATTTCAGAGAAAACAGTTTTTCTTTAACATAAACACAGGTTTTTTCCAAAATATGTTCTTATTATTAAAATTGGGTATGAACTGATTGCACATAAAAGAGACAGGGTTCTTTGACTTAATGGCAGTCAATGGAATGYCCTCATATATGCAGATAGACAAACACGTGTGTGAGGGTTCTGTGAGTATAAACCTGGGAGTCGGTTGCAAAGGGCCAATATTCGATCAGTATGAGATTCTGGATCACATTGCTGGCAGTAAATCAAACCCTTTCAGAATACCTCAGCCATGGCTGCCTGTTGTTACCGATTTTGTTCCGAAATTTTATGGACAAAATGTCTCAGAGCAGCCGGGAAGCAGGAGTCTGGTTCAGTGACGTCAGGATTCTGTTTGTGTTCCTGCTGRCGTCATCGTGCCATGATCTCCAGCTCTCACTGGAGTGGTTCACAAGAGAGTGTGAAACAGCTGGGATGATGATCAGTTCCTCCAAATCCTTAGGAAAGGGTTAAACTTGGTCTACTCTTGACTGGGAATGAGGTGCTGCCTGAATGGGATGGGGATTGTTGTGGTGAAGAGGGAGCTGAGATACAAGGCAAATTTTTGTTTGTTGGTCGGTTTACACTCCTACTCTCACCTGTGGTCAAAACCTCTGGTGGTATTGTCTGAAAGAATGTTTTCTCTGCAGGGTAGCCGGACTCTGGTTGAGAGATAAGATGAGAACAAGCAGCAAATAATGGATAGATTGATGAGATACTTTGACAACCTCTTTTACTTGACGTTTAATCATATGCGACATTGTCAAATTTATTTCTAGTTAGTGAAATCATTTTGCATCAACATGGGTTCTCTTGATGGTGTTGAGAATGTTTGGTGAAAGTGTCCTGGAGTAGGTTTGCACCAAGTTCAGATTTTTCCATAACAAACAAAAAGGTTTTATTTTTCTTTCTGTGTAACTCATAAACACTTTCACTCAGTGAAAAACTTCCAAACCAAATTCATTTATTAGTTTATCAGGCAATTTGATCCAAAACATCTTCTTATTGAAGAACAGTAGGAAACACATCAAGGCCCTTTTGGTGGCATGCCTACATTTAGACTTTGGTCATATTATTTATGGTAGTTCTCCTCACTGTATGTGTYAACACTTTGCACATTGAAGAGAAAATGTGAGAAACAAATAGAGGGTCTTTATGTGTGAACATGGCTGTTGCAAAGGCGTGGTTAAATATTCTGCATGCAGTGCCTTTTGCTGCAATGGAAAAAATTAGGCGTTTGTATCTAAATGGTTAGTGACTACAGATTGCTTTTTCACACTGAGGTTGCAATTTCAACGGTCATCATACAGTGCTGCGTGCAAAAGCCATCTTAAACTTTATGTGACAAACACCATTTCCTGTGTGGTCCCTTTTTTGTCCCTGGAGCTGCTTTATAAGTGACAAAATAGCTCAGTGCTGTTTAGGATAACAGCTAAAGTGGACAAGACAGCAGCTTCATCAGGTAAAACTCTGCACTGTAAAATAAAAATATGTAGATCTTTTTTGTTGTTTTACTGATTTATT